ATAAAGCACATGGAGAAAAAAAATTAAGTACTACATGAAAATTAAAATTTTATGAGTGGTTACCTGGGAGGGGAAGGCGGATAAAACATGAAAACATCTTGAAAGCTTCAGCTAGTAAGATACTGAGGAATCAATACGTGAAAATCTAGAAAGCGCCAAGAACCCCATGAGGTAAACCCAGCACTCAACACCGCTTTTTTGTCCTAAAACTATTTGCCAAGCCTGAAGAAAAAATGACGATACAGAGAAGTATTCTGGGAGCCTCACAGGGCTACTACAGAAAGGCAAATGTCAGTTCTCTCCAGCCCTCCAACTAAGGGATTTTCATAAGGCACCCCCTCTTCCAGGTGGAACCCCGAGGGGCTACATCTTCATACGCTTGCCCTGGCCTGGTGAGCAGCACAATCATTCCGCATGAGCCAGAAAACCTCAAGGCTTGAATTAAGTCAAGGAGCTCCAAGACTAGTTCCTTCAGGCACCTGTCAGGAGGAAATGACCCGCCCCTCCCCCTGCCCCAGGACAACGCCCTCATCCCAGGATTTTGCTCTAGATCATCAATGGGTCGCAAGTGGCAGAGGGGCTACTTTAAACCAAGTTCATTTTGAGAGCCCATGACCTTAACTTTACTAAACTGCCATGGAGAAAATAAAATACTGTGTGGGAAAGGACATCATCTAATCCAAAGTTATGAATTGTTTGGATTTCTTCGCAAAACTTGCAGAGTGATCGGCCAGCACTGCAGACACATCTCCCAGGACAAGGTCGCTCCTTTTTCACGAAGCAGCTCTTGTCCGTTTTCGCACAGCTCCAGTTTCTGGGAGAGCTAGCTGAAACGGGCCGCTAATTTCTCCACACTGCTCCTTGCCTGGTCCTCCAGGGTCACAAGTGTCAATCTGTCTGCACTGAGGGCCCCCACGCCTTTCCTGCTCCAGGCCAAACAGCCTTATCTTTCCCCAAAAACTTAATGAACACATTTTTAGCTCCTTCACGTGAGGCTGCCATGGATGTGGACAGTTCCCGTTACCTCAGTTCTCCATTAAATGGTACCCAGACTAAACATGCAGAGTCAAGCAAGACTGTAACACCGACCATGTCCTGGACTTCAGACCAGCTCTGCAGTGAAAAAACTGCATCTACTGCAGTGTGGAAAAGTACACTTTCGTTAAGCATCGGAGAGAGGGCTATCTACGATGCCCAGGAGTTTTCCATGTGTCACAGCTGCTCATGCTGTAACCAGACCGGCCTTTGGTTCTTCTCTCCTTGGGGTGTTCGCCCCATGGGAGCAGCTCTCCCCACTCCCTTCCCCTGGTTGGGGCCTGCGGAGCTCCAGCCTGCCTGGGCCTCAGCATCACACCTGCAGGGAAGCCCTAAGTTATTCTAATAGCTTCCTCTTTCAGGCTCCCATCACCTTACAACAGAAATTAAATAATTATTATTTACTTCATGACTCTTCACTAAGCAGTAAGCGCCATAAAGGCAGAGACTAATGGTGGCTGTTGATACATCTTGTTAGCTTATTTTTTCCAAACGTATTTCCACTCCCAACAGGGCACTGGCATACCTTCTGTCTGCAGCCTCTTAGGACCCTGACACAAGCCTGGAGGGTTTCCCATCCCCCACACTTCCCTGCACACAGGCAGGACCAGTATCTCCCTTCCTCCTACCTTATTAGAGCGCTTAGCCATCTGGGCCTATGGAGGCCTTATGGGATCTGATTGACATTCATCACACTGACTGTATCTCACCAGCTTTGTGTCAACTGCAGACTCTGCCATTCAATCAGGGACACCTCCTAGAAGCCATGGCTTCTTAGGGCTCGGGGGCAGTGAAGAGGTCAACTAGCTTGCCCAAACTTAGGCAACTTACGTGACCTCCCATTTGCCAGATGCTTCTGAGGTTGACTCACGAAATAGACTTATACAGGCTGGGAAAACTGTACCATTTCAATCTCCCTGGAGTACACACCCTCCTGCCCTAGAAAACCCCACCCGTATAAACAGAAATGAGGTTGAGTTCAGGTAAAAGTAATTCTGGCAATTTCTCTTTCTTCCTGACAGCCTTGTTCTGCCTCTTAAGAAGTCCAGAGAATTTTAAGTGTTTATGGGATTTCTAGACATCAACTTATGGGTTCACAGAATTTATGTAACAGGAGAAAAAGTTCCTATCAACAAAGTCATAAAAATGCAGTATTTGAAGGAAAATATTCAAGCCCATAGTTGTAAAAGCCCAGTGTGTAAACACAGAGCCTACCCACCTTTGGAGGAAAATATCAAATCATGGTTCTGTCATGAGGACAAAGGGAAAAAATAGCATCAAAAGTCCCTCATCTCCTCCCCTAGTTTACTTCAGTTTTATTTAAACGTTATCTCTTGATATGGTTACTGACGCCCAGTATGCTCTTTGACAACCCTAACCAAATTGGACTTTTTAGCTCCTCACTCACCAAGTCCATAATTTCTAGACTCTTCCTCCCCTCTTTGAGCAATCCGAGAATGGAAGAATTGCTTGAACACATTCGGATTTTCTGAGCACATTAATTATCTCATTTGCTTTCAGGGTTCCAGTACAATCTTCATTCAAGGCAGTATAAAAATGCTCTATACGTGAAGTGGCCGACAGCATATCACAGTGCTGGCCATCCAGGCAAACCGATCTATCAACTACAAGTCTTTGAGAACCCATTCTCCAAAAGTCAGGAAATCCCAATTGTCCATTCCTTTTCTCCATATAAAATGCCTCCTTAGGATACAGATACTCTTGGGGCCGGCCGAGTGGCGCATTAGTTAAGATCTGGCTTGAGAGCACAAGCTCTGAGCAGCAGGGCCCGGGTTTGGATCCCACATGAGGGCCAGTGACACTGCCCTCTACAGCTAAGATGAACAACAGCTCGACCTGGAGCTGGGCTGCCGTGAGTCGCCGGCAACGGCGTAGGTTGCAGTGGGGCTGCAGTGGGCTGCCATAAGCTACCGTGAGTGGCCGGCAGCTGGCATGTGCTTTCGTGAGGTGCTGTGAGCCACTGTGAGCGGCCATCCAATGGCCAGCGAGTGATCTGCCTCAGCCGGGAAGAGCGCAATGATAATACCAACACGGGCCAGTGAAGCGACGTCCTCCACAACTAGACTGAAGAACAAAAGGACAGCAACTTGTCTGTTCCCCTTCCCTGATTCCCCAATGCTGCTCCCCTCCAATTCCCCAATTAAAAAAAAAAATCTTAAAAAAATAGATACAGATACTCTTGTCTCCGTAGGATGTCTACTGAAAATGTAAACCTGATATTATATTATCTGCTTTTGGTAAACCTATGCAGCCTCTCCCTTCTTTCTCCTCTACGTACTTAAAAAACTACACTTTTTAACAATTATGATGTAATCTTCTCAGGAGCAATAAACTCACCAAGTCTATAATTTCTAGAATCTTCCTCCCCTCTTTGAACAATCCTAGACAATGGGAGAACTGCTTGAACATTGTTCAGGTCTTCTAAGCATATTAATTATCTCATCTCTTTCAGTCAGAGGTTGAATCTCAAACACCTGTACGGCCCCAGTGGGCAACAGAAATGGCTTCAGGTGGAGCGGGTCCCGCCAGAGGCGCAAAGAAACGTTAAGCCCGAATCTGAGGGGCAATCGCTAGTCAGCTCCCAGCAACGTGCTGTACACAGGAGTCAGTTTACCAGAGCTTTGAATTTTCCATGAGAATCTGAAATACATACTGAAATGTGAAACCGCCTTATTTTCAAGTGTTGATGATTACTTTTCAAAGGCCTCTTATTGGGCCAAAGCATATAGAATTCAGCACACAGGAGTCCAGTTGTAATCCCTTGCTCTAAACTAAGAAATCCATGTATGTGTCTATTTCAAAGAAGAGGTGCTAAAAAGTCAAATTTGGGCTTCAATCCTGTCTGGAAAAGATTTCTTTGTATCTCTTTCGAAATACGACCCTCCTTGCCCCAGAGCACAAAAATTAGAGGGGATGACATGACACAACTACAGAGGACCTAGGAGAAATGCAATGGCCACTCCCAAGGAATAACTTCCAGGCTCTCTTCATTGTTCCTCTTGTAAGCGTAAGGCTGCAAATGTTCCCTTTTTGCATAACAGCCTGCAGGTGTGTTCCCCCTCAGGTGTGACTTCTCTCAAGCTCTCACATTTTCAAAAACCCACAGTAATGCTTCAGGCCTGTCCCTCACCTCCTCCCTATCCCAGCTGACACACAGATGACAAACGACCCCAACATGCAAAACTGTCCAAATTCTGGAGTTATCCAGTCTAAGGAATCTGGCTTACTTTTCCTCAGCATTTTTTAATTGTTCTCTTGCTGACCAGGATGCACTCACACCCAAGTTATTGTTCGCTATCATTATTTGCTAGCATTTTGAAACATTCATGAAAAACTAGGAAATCATCCCCTAATTTCTGGGGCTTAAAATACTTCAGATAAAGTCCAATCCCATGAGTAATACACAGCCGGCACCTAATTGCAAGTGCCTGACGTTACATGGCACAACAGCGGTACGATCATATTCTACTGAAGGGGTGCTCGAGCCATGCTGGAAAAATTTCCTAACACACTCATATTCAAAACCACCACAATATTCCCCTTGGCACTAAATTCCACAATGGATTGAGCAAACAACCTTTCACGTCACTTATGTCAGCATTCAGAGGAGCCTGAGGAAGCAGTTAGAATCCAGTGTCCAATTAAAAATATTCCAAGAGGGCCGGCCAAATGGCTCAGTTGGTTAAGAGCTCGCTCAAGAGTTTGAGCTCTGAGCAACAGCAGTTCGATGCCCGGCCTGAGCTGAGCTGCCGCTGAGCTGCCAACAGGTGGCAGGATGGCTCAGCTAAAATATATATATATATATTCCTAACTTCTCTTGTTCTCGAAAACCATGTCGGAAGTGCTGAGACGGTTCGACTTGTCTCCTATCTCAGCAGTCCCACTTTCACACCTTGCAGTTCAGTACAGAGTAGTTAACAAGGTTTATAAAATGAAAACCAAAGCCAGGCATCTCTTAAGTTTATTGGAGAATTCTTAGTTGGAAGAGGAACAATCACAGACTTAAACAATTCGAGAAAAGATAAAAGAACAATTAATTGCAAATCATTACAAAAGTAATTTCTGAAATGTTTATTTTGAACCACTGCTGAAACAAAAGTTTAGTGCATCCTGAAGTTCATAAATCTCGGTAAATGAACATATTAAATTTCTGAAAAGCAAAAAAAAGAAGTTACCATTATACAAGATCTTAATGTAATGATTCAGCACAGTTGAATCAACAGCTACAGTTACTTAAAGCTGCTTTTGCTATAGAGCTGGCCTATTAAACAAGAATGGGAATACTTTTAGCACTGCACAAGTAACCAAAGGTAGCAAATCCAGCAATTAAAACTGATATTAAATAGTATTCAAACGTTACAACAAAAAACAAAACAATGTACTTCCAGGACTACAATTCTACCCTTGTGAAAGGAATGTACATGGATGGTTAAAAAAAAATAAATAAGTAAAGTGACGAGAGTGACTGACACTGTTATCTGCAACTGCAGAGCAGAAATAGTCAAGTGAGGAAATGGCATGGGGCCTTTTGCTAAAAATGAGGGAAAAAAAGTGTTTCACTTCAGTACAATTTTATAATTCCCAATGAAGCTCTAATTCTCTTGTGCCGGTGACAGGTGGACAGGGTTTTAAATGAAGGTATTTTCTTTACACCCTGAGTATGGATGCATTATTTTTTTAAAATTTGGTGGAAAGTTTCCTTTGAAAAATATAAAATTTAAAGCAATATACTGATGGAAAATTGGTAACATTAATTGTGGAAGGATATTATTAGCTAAATACTTAACTGAGATGACACTGGGTCTGGGCTCTGATGATGAGTCAATAAGGTTCAACTCCTCATTTGCGGAATGTGCACCGAAGTCAGAGTCACATGGGCAAACGATCCTTCACTTCATACATGGGGCATTTAATAAGTAACTAAATTCTCCTACCAACAACATAAAACCCTTATTTAAGCAAAATGAAAGTATTATGAATGGAATTAATTCACATCAAATTATCTGAATGGGTAAGTAGAACATTTTTCGAAGTATAAAGATATCACCACATATATTCACGGAGTGAATACTCTCAAAGGTTTTATTCCATTAAATTGTCAAACCATCCAATAGGCATTGCCATTTTCTTCTGTGGTTTATAAATGAATCATTCCTTTTGTATAAATCAGGAAATAGTTTCAAATCAACATTAGTCACGCCTAAAATATAAATGTAATTCAAACTTGGCTTGGGAAAAACAAGACTATGAAAGAACGGCCACATTTCAGTCTAAAACAATGTTCAAAAAACCCCTTATCAGAAGCCTCCTTCACTCTTTCCACAGACCCTTCAATGGTTCTAAAATTGATAGAGAATTCAACTCAGTGCACATCACAACTTTGACAATTCTGACATTTCATGAGCGCCAAAACCTGCAGAATAGCGATGTTACAACGTGATAATATAAACATGTCAAGTAGATCTGTCATAAAATAAGATAGAGCTGTCCTCAACAAACAGAGCTGTTCTGAACACTGAGCAACCAAGCAGGCCTGGAGTGTCTTTGGAAAAAACCACAAAGTGCCTTTAAAGAAAGTAAGCTTAGCCTGTACCTGATTAAAAGCTACTGCTCTAAGCTCAAATGTTTTCTAAGGGAGGAAGCTTAACTCCCACTTCTTTTCACATCTGCCAATACTTAGTATCTTTCTCTACATGCCCCTGCATTGCACTGATACGCGTGTGGATTCCGCTCCGATTATTACTGCGCTCGCTAAAACCCAATGATCAGTCCAGCGTCATGTAGTGACTGATTACAGGAACTCTGAATCCAGCACAGCTCCAGAAAAACGCAAAGGAAAAAAGGACATGAGGAAAATCTTACCTCAAAATGATTATTACCATAAGAGAAAGGAACATTTTCAAGCACAAAGTTTTACAAAAGTAATATATTGCCACTTTAGTTGAATAGAAATTCAGTTTTGCTGTTAATCAAAGCTGCACATACATGGAAGTTACGAAACACAACTTGATAGTTACAGGCTTGTAAAAATTCAATCTAAGCTTAATAATCAGTGAATCCGTGCAATTAACAACACGGTTCCTAATGTTTACAAACCCTGTCCAGTGCTGCTGCGTCTCAAGTTCTGAGAAGCTCAAGGCAGAAACAATCCTGGTTACAGACATTTCCTGCATTTCTCCACCTTCAAAAACACTTGAAGAAACTTCAGGAAAACTTATTTTTAAGGCTTGCTCTATTTCTTCATCTTAAATTGAGAAAAACCAAAGCTTGCCATGTAACCTCAAAATATTGAAATAGCTCTGGCGTTTTTCATAAAAAGGAAATTTGACTCTTTCATTACAAAATATATTTCTCTACTATAATTATTAATTCAAATTAATATAAGTGCCCCTATTCCTTGCCCCCTGCCAGGTGCTATGTCTTGTACACTTTGTGCAGCTTCCAAAAAGGTCAGCGCTCTGGAAAAAAGAAAATGTAATGGAGGAAAACCAAAGCCCCCAACAAAAAGGGATTTACTCCAGGAGTCCAAATCCTCCATGGAAGAAGTAAAAGTTCACACACGCATACCCTCACATACAAAACCAAGACACGGGCTCGGTCCTCTCTTCAAGTACCTGCCACTTCTAAAGACAAAGCATAGGAAACGTGGCAGCCAGGCCACAGGATCGTGTCACAGGACCTTACAAAATGATGCAGATTTTAGCAGAGGAGGTTCCTATTGTTTCCTAGAAAAAGCTTATCCTTGTTAAAGTGGAGTTTTTTCAAAAATCTAAGAGTGAAAATCATTAGTGGGCTTCTCTAATTGTATTTCCAAATTAACATTAATGTTTAAAATTCCAACATGTTTTGCACCTTGATTTTCATGTACAGGATAAGTTAGGGACCCAAAATAAGTCAAAAAGAGAAACAAAAATTCTAACTGCACAATCTTTACAGACATTTTATTTTAAAGCACCTTTTTAATGTTAACAGTAGATTTCCAACCAAGAAACACATGAAAATAAAAGAGGACACAAACCACTAGCAAGGATAAAGTACTCCTTCACACAGACGCGCACGCGAGCTCACTTTCAGGCCAGAACAATTGGCAACATTAGCAAATATTGTCAGTTTGATAGAAGGTGGGGGAAACTATCATTTATGGTATTAACAGAAACCTAAATTACTAATGTTTCTATGACATTAAATACTTTGGGGGATTCAGAAAGCTACCAACAGCGGAACTATGAAAATAAAACTGACTTTTTAAAATGAGACAAAAACTATCAGAGAAAAAAGATTAGCCTCAGTGCTATTTTCTGATGTCAGATTAGTTACTAATAGGATACCATTTGTTTGCAAAGGAGCAAAACTCTCCCTCTTTATCCCTGGAACCTATCCTCAGCAACCTCGGTGCGGTTTCTAGCAGCACGGTTTGGATGCAAAAAGAACGCCATCAGTCAATATCCCTGAAAACCTCATGGTTAGACCTTCCTTCAAATATGTTCTTAGGGTCTTCACACGCTACCCATGTGTATAGAAGAATACATGAAGATAATATTTGACAGAGATTACAAAAGTATGAGCTATATACACCGTGTGATGACACAATGAGCTGAAAAAGCTGTATTTACTTTCCTCCCAATTTACTTTAAATGTTAATATTCACTATTCAAATTGTATCCTAGGCATCTGTATCTCTTTCTTGTTCTCCTAAAACAAATAATAAAATAGAATGGTTTGGAGTTTGTGCTACGCGTTTTCCAAGAGCCAATCAAACAGTGGCTTGCACTTCTCCTCACTGGAAGTCTTTTCCATCACTTCGCAGTATTTAAGCACAGCCTGCAGGAGGACTCCCACTTTCCATCCTTTTTCTTGTAATCGTTTTGAAAGCTAAAAAGAAACATATGTTCAACATTAACCAAAAACAATTTTATAACAATAAAGTTTTCATTTTTATTTTTAACATCAGCTAAAACTAAGAATTCTGCTGTTTGTAGTAAACTATTATCTCCCAGTTGTAAGAGTGCTCTCCCTAAACCACCGCCCCTTTACACACACCGAACCTTTCCCCTTCCTGCCCTTTATGAATGCATCTCCTCCACAGAACGACACTTTGGGATGACCGGGGCCAGAGCTCCATAACCCTCCCCGACCCTCCCCACGTGGGTACTGTGTGGATGCTGCATTTCTACAGGAAATCCTTAACCTAACTGAATACATCTGCCACACCCTCGATTAAAAACATAAAATAATAAAGACAATGTCAAGCTTAATAAAAACAATGTGGATTTTCCTTCCACAACATATAGTGTGGTGTTCGTTTTTTTGTTTGTTTGTTTTTAATACACACTCTAGCCTCAACGGAAACATGGCTCTCTAAGAAATGTTACTGTTTCTGAAAAGAACAAAAAAGTAAATAAATATTGTGGTCATTTTGCATTACAGTATATATAAATATCGAATCATTACATTGTACACCTGAAACTAACATATTTGGGGTTTTTTTTTTGTTTTTGTTTTTGTTTTAAGATTTTATTGGGGAATCAGGGGAAGGGGAACAGACAAGTTGCTATCCTTTTGTTCTTCAGTCTAGTTGTGGAGGATGTTGCTTCACTGGCCCAAGTTGGCACCATCATTGCGCTCTTCCCCGGCGAGGCAGATCAGTCGCCGGTTTCTGGACGGCCGCTCACGGTGGCTTGAGGGCTACTCATGCTGACTGCTGGCTATACACGGTAGCCCATGGCAACCCACTGCAGCAGTGGCTGCAGCCTACGCCGTCGCCGGCGACTCATGGCAGCCCAGCTCCAGGTTGAGCTGTTGTTCAGCATCTTAGCTGTGGAGGGCAGTGTCACTGGCCCTCATATGTGGGATCCGAACCGGGGCCCTCTGGCATCCCAAGCCAGTTCTTAACCAACGCGCCACTCGGCCGGGCCAATATATTTGTTATACGCCAATTATACTTCAATAAAAAAAAGTAAATAAATACAGGTTTTCATAAACTATCATCACCAGTCAGAACATATCTTCACTCATTTTTTTCTATTTAGTTTTATAAAAATGACTTTAATTTTTTTAATAGAAATATGCTTAGCCTGTTTAACGTTGCCATGGACATATGCTTCCATATGTAGGAGTGGCATTGCTGGTTATGTGATAATGCTGCTTAACCTTCTGAAGAAGTGGCAGGATGTTTTTCGAGGTTACATGGGGATGAGGTCCCCTCAGCCAAGCGCTATCACACTCGCTGTCTATGGCCTCCTTCAGCCCTCAGTTTATCCAAGACTAAGTGACTTCAAAATGTTTGCCTCCCTAAGGTTAGTTTTAACACTTTCCCTACCCATTCTTTTTTCCATGACAGCTCAGTCCCTTTCTGTCTTATTTTCTCCTTTTGCCCAAAAACAGAAACCTAAACTGGAAAAATTCCAAGTCTAAGTAAAAACATAATACCAAAAAAACCCTATTTTTACACAATTTTTTTTTCACATACTTCTTTCAACAATACCCTTGTAAATTCTGAACCAGGAATTAAGAGTAGCGGGACTATTCTTTTTTTGTTGTTACTGATCAATTTACATTGGTTATTCATTGGACTACTCTATAACCTATAAGATTAAACCAAAGTTCTGATAAGGAAAATTCTGGGACAGAGCCTCAAAACTGTAAACTGAAAATCTCGACTAACAAGGTGCTTGGCACCCAGTTAAGTTCTCAATAAAAACTCCTATTAGTGAGTTAAATCTGAGTGTTTTATTATTAAACCTTATTAAACACTCAAGTGGTCCACAGTCCCTTATCAGCTGTTGAAACTTCTACTGGCTTTTGATTATGCCAGCTTCTCCTACGAATGAAAGTGGATTAACAGAGAAAGACATACTGGGTACTGGCACAACTAGGATAATAAACACAAGGAATGGGGCCGGCCGAGTGGCGCGATGGTTAAGAACTGGCTTGGGACGCCAGAGGGCCCCGGTTCAGATCCCACATATGAGGGCCAGTGACACTGCCCTCCACAGCTAAGATGCTGAACAACAGCTCGACCTGGAGCTGGGCTGCCGTGAGTCACCGGCGACGGTGTAGGCTGCAGCCCCTGCTGCAGTGGGTTGCCATGGGCTACCGTGTGTAGCCAGCAGCCAGCGTTGAGCGGCCAGCAGCCGCAGTGAGTGGCCATCCAGAAGCCGGCGACTGATCTGCCTCGCCCGGGAAGAGCGCAATGACGGTGTCAACTTGGGCCAGTGAAGCGACGTCCTCCACAACTAGACTGAAGAACAAAAGGACAGCAACTTGTCTGTTCCCCTTCCCCCAATTCCCCAGCACTGTTCCCATCCCCCAATTCCCCAATAAAAATCTTAAAAAAAAAAAAAAAACACAAGGAATGACCCAGTCTTTTCATATGAACGCATGGGAGGCTTATTAATGGCACCAAACTGTGAATTTAGGATGTGCCAGGCAATAGATTACAGTTAATCCTCACAAACCTCTGTAATGTAATTCTACACTCACGTCCACGGGGCCGATAAGGGCTGGTGAGCCAAGCTCACGCTGCCCAAGTGCGGCAGGGCCGGTATCTGAACCCGGCTGGCACTCTGCTGCCTGAGCATTCGCCCAATCTGCTACCAATGGGTCCTCATCTGCTCAAGCGTGTGACACAGAACATCATGTACATTAATTAGCTGTAGCCTCACAAACCCCTCTAAGGCAGGTACTTACCCGTATAAACTCCTTCTTTGCAGAGTCATGAAAAGAAAGTTCTGCGACGTCAGCCTCCGAGACAACGAGCCACTGAAGAAGCATCCTGAGCTGGGGGTCCACTGCACAAGGCTCCATGTCCATGTTGGTGACCAGCAGAGGCCTTCCGTCCGGCTCCCAGCCTGGCATTTCAATGTGAACAAATGGAGACCCATCAAGTCAACTCTCAGCACTCTGGTGTCCAAGGCTATGGCGGCATTTCCCATTTCTTAAGATTCCAGTGACTGCTGGGAGGAAATCCATCCTCTCCTCACCACACTACAACATCAACTAAAGACTTCTTTGAAAGGGAAAAATAATGCTAAAACAAAGGATTAACTTTGACCACCTACTGACAGCACAAATGCAAAACTCTATTCTGAGGCACCGAACTCAAGTACTTTACATAAATGCCATCATTTGTGTCAAATTATGATCCACAAGTAAAGGGAGAGAAAAATAAAGCTATAAAGCCAAGATTACAATCAAAATTAAAAAAAAAAACACAAATAAAAACCTCAAATAAATTTATTAAGTGGACTTTAAGAAAGCTTTCTGAACTGACAGAAGTAAGAGAAGCAGTAAATACTTGGATAGCACATATTAAACTATCATTCTAAACTTTTTTTTTTTAATTTTTTTATTGTAAGTTTCAGGTGTACAGAACAAATAGTTACCCTTTTCACCCTCACAAAGTAACAACTCCCCTCCCCCCATCTAAGCTCTTTAGATACACAAACTCCTAAAATCTAAAACCACCCTATGAGGTAAAAACTATTCTCATCCCCATTTCACAGGCGAGGTGCCTGCGCAGACAGACCCAGATCTTACAGCGAGGGTGGGGCTGAGCCAGGGTATGAACACAGGCCCACCGACTCCATGCCCATAATCACTCCAGTCTTCAGACAAAATAGGAAAAAAAAGTCACATGCAACCACTTACATCCTAATGGCCAGACCAGGAATTTTCCGGCACACCCCTATTATAAGATGTGCTCTCGAGTGTATTTCATTTTTTGTGAAAAACGTATTTTCAACAAAGTAGGATGGATCCCTGTGGACTGTAACACTAATGCCTCAACTCGCCCGCTCCATGGTGGCTGAGCAACAGGCAGCGCTGACAGGGGCTCCCACACACAGGTGGGCGGCAGGGCACGCTGCCAAACCACACCAGCCTGAACCGGCAGTGGAGGAGATGGTGAAGGCCCTGATTCACTTTTACAGCTCGCAGAGCATTCTAGATCACTACTAATCACTTTCAGGGTATGTAAACGCCCCTAATTTTTCATTTAAAAAGTTGATTCACATTATACTCTTAAAATAAATGCACCATTTTCCCCCTCCTCCCGCCTCTCTGACTCTCCATGGAAACTGGGTCTGATGCGCTACAATACCAGGCGTGGTCTCTGGGACATTCTGTAAACCCTACAGAGGTCACGGGGCTGGACGCGGCCACCCCAGGGCTTCTCTGTCCTGCAGCCTTTCTCAGTTCAGGACTCCTGGCTGCCTGGCCTAAGATGCCCTCTCTCTTTACGGGGGTCACCAAACACTACTGAAGAGAGAAGGGACTGATGCCCCGAAGCTACCAACAACAACAACAAACTAGATTTGTCGCCTTACGAGTTCCATAATTTTGAATCTTTCTATAAACTTACATCAATCTATCTCCTAATTTACCAATTTCTAATTTAACAAATTTGAAAGTTGGCTACAACTGTCTGTATATAATGAAGTGACTGTACTTTCACAAGCTGAGTAATGACATATATCTACCATAATATCTCCTCACAAAAGAAATCCTGGACAACGTGGCTAGTGCCAAAAGTAAACATTTTAAAATGAATTTCGTATTGATTTTAACTTGAGTCTTCTTTTCTCTTAATCATTCGTCAGTAAAATTAGTATTCATTAGAGAAAATACTTACCACATCCATTTATACCACATATCTAGCATTTGAAACAACTCTGCTCACAGGTAACACTTGGGAAAAAGTACACACTTTTCTAGACAAAAATCAACACTTTTTTAGTTAGCACAGATAAAGCAAATGTTACCTAGCCTATCTATAACTCAAAAAATATCGCCCTACCCCTAATTTTCTATCTGATGAGAAAAACTTACTTCTAGAAGTTCTTCTATATGAAGAGAATGTCTACTTAGCAGAGACTTTAAAACTAAAATATTGGGTTGTCGGAAAAGTCATGATGCATTTTTGCAACAAAAAACATAGAACAAAATATGTCATGACTTTTCCGACAACCCAATATGATTATCATCCTAGGTCTGAAGGCTTTAGCTCAAAAATTGGCACATGACTTTCCTGCATAAGGAAAGTACCACTGGTGATAAAACTGATTGGAAACTCAGGCGTTATAAAGCACAGTTCAAGACATTCATTTCGGCATTTTTTTTCTCAGTTTGCCCACTTCTAAAGAAATGATAACAACAACAAAAAAATCACTGATTCAAAAACAAATCTCTCAAACAGTGTGAACATTTTTACATGTCACTTTCCAGAAGACATTATTCGTATTTTTATCATTAAAGACAGTAAGATTTTGGGGAAAGATCTAAATACAATGAAAACTCAGCTTCAACATGAACAGTGTTTAGATTCAGACATTCTAATATATTTGAATTAAGGATTACAAATCACTGCCCTGACCTCTCTGGCCAATGGCATCTAGTATTTACATATTCAGAGCCATGGTCATTCAAGAAGAACTGAATATTGTCTTCATATGTGTGTGTCTACTACTGGAATCAGGGAAGGACGAATTGATTTTAAAATATCTTATATTTACTTATTGCTTTACGTAAGACTAACATTCTAGAAATTACTGGTTTGTCAGGAGAAAGCTCTGACACATGCCATAGACATAATAAATTATACTTTATGGGAAAGGATCACTCATAAAATATATTTTTTGAGTATATATAATATAGAGAGAATATATAATATATATTTTGACACCAATAATTATACCAAGGTTATCATGAATTTCCCTCTCAAATAACTGAATAATTCTCTTTAATGTAGCTTAGTCTTTATGCCAATGAGTACTTCATTAGTTTAGCAATCAAATAATGCAAACTGCTCAGCAAAGGACCTGACAATGGATAAATTAGTTTAAGAATACCCTGATTTGTAACAACCCAGAGTCTAACAGATGAAATGCACAAACACAAAAATTAAAGACTCTTCTGGGGGAGCTTATACAGAAAACCCACGCCAACACTTTGAAAAACAAAGCGTCCGTTACCTTCCACGTCGTCTTCAGGCTCTTCTTCATCTTTGTCATCTGGCCCATCACTTTTTGAATAAACAAGAAAAACAAGTTTAAAGAAAGCTCTAATTAATAATGGCATTAAAATCATTTCTTAAAATGTGGTAAAGAATGAATGTTACAATATGATGTGTGACATTTAAAAAAGGGGAGAAATGACAAAAAGGGAAGCTTTGCTTCTCACACCATTTCATGTTAAAATTTGAATTGTAAATGATGCCTACATAAGTTATCAAAAACTAAGTTCTACCTGCCCATGATATATAGAGTGCCAAGTAATTTCATAATAAAATTTAATTTAAAATAAATTAAAACCAAAATGGTCTACTAATTTGGTTTTAGATAACACAGCAGTTGAATATCATAGAATGACACAAAAAATTATTAATGCTTCTGCTGATGCCATTTATATATTTTTAACATAGTGAAACACAATTTTCTTACACTTTTCTTATATATGAAATAAAACTACAAAAACAAAACAAAAAAACAAAAAAAACCCAAAACAAACAAAAACAGAAATCCTGTAGGAAGCAAGCTCTTTTTAATGAAAATAATTGGTAGAATGAAAGATAGCAAGCGGAGCAATACATGCATAAAAGCAACCCACACACTTTGCAATTAGATGTCAATCATATCTTAGCATAGTTGAAGTTTTTCATTAGATGTAAATTGGTCAAGCAGAATCGTGTCAAAATACAGGAGAACAGCAGCTTGATACATGTTGGCATTGCAACCCACATCTTCTAAGAGTATGATGTCATGCATTAGTGGTGAAAGACTCATCAGTTTGTAAGTTTCTGGGCTGGACCAACCTGTCTGATGTTGGAAAGGAGAAATTGTCCTCATTTAAATCTCCTTCTAAACCAAGACTGCTCCAGCTACTGCTGTTACCATTACTGGCAGGGGAAGAAAAGAACAGAGCTGAACTAGAAAACAAATAGTACAGACGCCCTCAGTGTCCCCTGGAACAGCTTCTGTCAGTGAGAGCTGCACGTCCTGAAGCTGCCACGGGGGACGGGAGCCCACTGCCGTCACTGAAAACGGTCCCTGACACCTCAGAGATTCAGGGGTTTTCTTGTTCTCAACAGGTCATGAAAATTACTCTACATGTATATTTATTTTACTCAGTAAGGCAACAGAAACAGAATGACTTTTAAGACTGCAAATGAATGCATGAAGTAAGAAGTTTCACAATGGAATGTCTATGTCAAGTCTTAGGATTTAATTTGTAAAAAGCCAATATTCTTCAGCTTCAATAGAGTCTTAAAAAAAAAAACCACAAGGTAACAGTCTCTCAGGTCTTTGGGATAATGCAAGCAGCGATGGACTTGGGGGGCGGGGGTGAGAGGCACCAAAACCTAGTCCCAAATAGGCCTTCTGTAACTACTTGGAGAAAAAAAAGTTCTGATTTTAAAATACTCTTACGTCAATTACCTTCATTTCATACGTGACACATAAATCAGTAGGTGGCAAATAACACACATTTTCTTCAGAGTATCGAATAAACCAAGGCGTATTCAAGCATTCCACTTCTCTGGTTGGGCAGTTACTAATGCCACACAGATAACTTTTTATACTATCCAATCAAAAGAAGAAAGCAACTACATTCTAAAATTGCGGCAAAGCAATAAAAAACAAAAAGCAACTGTGTTCAGAAATAAAACTAAACTCAATTTTTCAGATTAAAATCTAAACATGCAATTTTTTAAAATACTAATCATTAAAATAATTAGTAAGCATATTAGTTTGCAGTGATAAGCAGCTATATTTCCCCATGTTAGGCTAGGCAACTATAAAAAATTAATATTTATACAAACCAAAATTTTGGTTCTAAAAAATAAATTAACATAAAATCATTTTATGGGCATCAGTAAATGTGGACAAAGTTACAAAAAAAGGACAGTTACTTAAAAGTTCTAAATAGTTTCCAAGCAATCTCAAATAATTTACATATTCATGTTTACTCTAGTATTATCAAAATGTCATAAACTATAATGTATTAGAGAATAAAAAAACTGATCAGTATCTTTTTACATATATTCAAACAAATATAGTTCTATTACAAAACTATTGAAACAACTAGAGTTTTGCCCATGTAGTCTGTTGTTAGGCAAACCAAAACTGAGAAAATACAGAAATACAGAGCTACTGCCAAAGAGAAAATTAATGATCTCAAAACTGTATTTACTTCTATTAATAGAATGGTTATCTAAACAAAAAAATTATGAAATTCTTACTCATATCCTAATGATTCCTCCATTTAATTAACAATCAAAATCTAACCTAAATATTAGGTGAACATGAGAAGAAACAGCTAAAAAATGTAAAGACTAAAATTTCAAAAAGTCCCTCTATGTAACCTCATTCCCCTCCGGTTTCACCCCTCGAAATGGGTAAGATTTGAAGTCAGTTATTTATAAAACACCACTTCTAACTCGGATAACCATATAATTTTTTCAACTAACCAGGGCACTGCTGAAGAAGGAAATGTCACCATCAATATGATTACACCGGAACAGAAGTAAACCAGAGAGGTCCCGAGCAAACCTGGAGGTATAGTCATCCTAACTCGACATAAACAGCTTCACTTCTCCACCTAACAGCTTTCTATTTCATCCTTGAACACTGTCCTGCTGCCATAATTTTCTCTGATGTCTTTTCACACTCCCTCTGTCAAGGACAAAATCTCCTTACTGTGGCTTTCAGCCGTAGAAAAAGTACTATCAATTCTTACACATCGCATGAAAACTACTCGTATCACAAACATTCTGCAAGTCCAGCCCCATCTCTTACCTAAATCTACTACATAAATTTTAAGAAATTCACAAACTGCGGAAACACTTGAGATTCATATACACAGACCAGTTCTCTTTCTGATGAAATAATACCTTCTTCCTAAACACTTGTGAAAACTTGAGATGAACTGCTGCCTTCTACGGAGCTTCCTACTTAGAGTGAAAGTGAAATATGTCCAACCGCTCAAGTCTTTTATCTCCTACCTTGATCTCTGTACCAGAAAACGACAGTTCCTACTGCAGACGTCATCAAAAGCTGAAGCGTGCAGGGCCATATATCTTAAGTATGTTCTCGGCACCATCTTCACTAAAATCACAGGAGGTGTTTATCAAGCATGCAGAGTCTAGGGACCCTCCAATGACCTAGTGACTCTCAACCTCTGGGAGGCGAGGCCCTGGAAACTTAATGTCCAACAAGCACACCAACCCTGGAGGAGTGCCACTAACTTTTTCTTTGTGCCTGAACCTTAATACCACCAAGCATCATAGTTCCTATTAAGACTGTGGTCGATTAAAACCACAGGAGTTTTTCTGACAAAATGCTCTCTCAAGCCAAGTTTTCCTCATCCTGAATTCAAAAAATTAATTTTCTGAACCTAGATGCATTTACCCATGTTCACCCTAATTCTTTCAGCCTCAGTCCGCTCTGGCCCTTTGGAACCTTGGCTCTGTGAACGGGATTATCTTTCCGCCTGCATGAGGAGTCCTTCCCAAGTAAGTATTCCATGTCCCTAATAAAACACTGCTCACGGGACAGGCGTCGCCCCTTTTCATCAAACCAGGTCCCATCCCAGAGCCGCTCCCCTGACTACGGTCCTCTCAGTGCGTCCAGCCGCTGATCCCAGCGCTCCCATTTTTAACACCAGGAATTCCTAAGCAACGTCATCAACCGTCGCTGAGAATCTAGAAGCCTGCGTTTCTCAAAGATGAGAGAAGTTCAGTGTTACTGTTCTCCTCTAGACAAAGTGATAGAAAAGGGCCAAATGATGAATTGTGATTTTACCCTCACTTCCCACTACCAGTTTTAAAGACTGCCATTTTTTTATCTAGATGCTAAAAAATTTTGGTGGTTTATGCCACATTTTAAGAAATTAGGACAAAATAGATACTTTATAAAAATATTAATACTTCCTGGTTAATCCAAGCATCAAACAAAATGCTCTGAGAGGATACGTTCTAACAGGTGCAAAGTGCTTTCCTCTCCTCCCGCTCCAGCACCCACCCTCCACTAGCCTTCCCTCCCCCTCCTGGGAAGTCAACTCCAAGGCTCTGTCAACTGAAGCAGCGCAGGGTCCTTTCTGAGAACCCTCCCCTCTCCCTAAACTCAGCTACGGATGGTATTTGTTATTTCCAATTATCAGCTCATGTGGATAGATTTTATGGAATTTTACTGGTTAGTCAAAAAATGCCTTTATAGAGTTAAGGATATAAGAAACAACTGTATCACAATTAATAAAATATATCAAAGACTGTTATTATGAATTAAGTTAACTAAGAAAAGTTATATGTGAGGTCAATGCCTTCTGCCGCACGAAACCGTATTTTGACAAGGAGTTTGTGTATATTCAGTCATTCAAGTGTTAAGTGCCCTGGGGTATCTTGTCCCCGAGTAGCAGAACAAGTGAGCAACCCTTCTAAACAAGAGACTACTTCACTAATATCAAGAAAATTACAGGGCCATTTTGATGCCTCTTACAGACAATTGTCCTTTTTCCTATCCTCTAAAGAAAAGAAAAAAAAAAAGCACCTTCTTTAAAGTGAGAAAGAAAATTCTTCCTCAGAAATTCATGAAAAGTTCAGGTAAAACTTAAAGGGTATAAAATCAAGTGTATGAAACAATTTTCAAATCAACTCTTGGCACATCCAGAGACAATCAGCTCAGTGAATACCATGTTAATAAATGTCAAAAACCATTAGAAACATATTATGAGTCACAGAATGCATTTTGAAAATAATGGTCGATTTTCCAATTCAGAATTTTAAATAATAGTCAATATAAATCTGTAGCTCATGTCGGTGGTCTGAGGACCTAAGCTGCAGTTACACGTAACATTGTAAGTTACCTTCCACTTAGATGATGAAAGCTGCTGCTTTCATCTTGGTGCTCATCTTCGAAACTTAAATTGGACCAGCTCCCAGTGCTGTCTTCACCAATGCTGAGATTCATGTGCTGGCTGCCCAAAGACTCAGTTGACTGAAAGCCTTCTATTTCTTTTGGACTAAAAAAATAAATAAATAAATAAAGGGGGGGGAAAAAAAAGATAAATTCAACCCAAAAGCACCAGATTCTGAATTATAAGACTAGCCATTTGATGATAAAGAGGACAAAAACAAGAAATGATACTCAGAGTCGCAGCAGGGGGTCCCCCTAATCCCCTGTTTGTGTCTGTTTGAACAAAGAGGCTTGCAGGACAGCATATTAATGTCCAAGCGACCTGAGGTTCCCACCCACACCCCTAACTGACCTTGTTCATCTACTACGGATCCATCCCAAGCACATCAGTTATCTAAATTCTCTTTAAAGCAGCTGAAACCTTCAACTGGGACCGCTATAGAGGAGCACAAGTTCCTAAGTTTATCATCTGCTTTTTAAGACAGTAGTTATTTGTACGAAGGAAGGAAGGAAGGAAGGAAGGAAGGAAGGAAGGAAGGGAGGGAGGGAGGAAAGGAGGGAGGGAAGGAAGGAGGGAGGGAGGGAGGAAGGAAGGAAGGAAGGAAGGAAGGAAAATAAAAAGGCAAAAAAACTTTTTCGGGCTTTGAAAACAAACACGTAGCTCATGGAATTCTAGTACTGTCAGTGAAGCCTGTAATAGTCAAACCAGCCAAATCGCTTCAAGATTTTGAGTGTGCATCATCATAAAGCTTCTGGTTGTTGTTTTGTTTCAATGAAGAAGCATTTATATTTCTATTCCATCTTCACAAAAAAGGCCATTCCCTATTCCATGATGTAACTGCCCCCCTTCATTTTATTCTCAACATAGTTTAAAGTGATACTTTTAAACATAAACATCTGATCAAAAGCTTCTCGTGGCTTCTCACCCATCAAGAGTCCAGTCCTTACAGCATTCTACCTGGTAGGACCTCTGACAAGCGCCGCCCCCTCCCCTATTCGCTCCCAGCTGCTCACTTCACCGCTCTGCTATTTCCCCAGCTTGCACAGTCCCACCCCTTTGCCTGGAAACCTCTTCCCCCGATTCTCACGTGACTTATTCTCTTGTGTTCACCTTTGGCTCTTTGCTCAAATGTTACTTTGTCAGAGTTGCTTCCTGTGCTACCTGTTCAAAACTGCAAACCACCCCCACCAGCAGAACCCCAGTCCTTGCTTTAGTTTTGCTCCAAAGCACATCTCGCCGTGTGACATGCTACACGTCTTACTTACTGTCTGTCTGCCTCACTTTACTATAAAGCATAAGGCCCAGGAGAACATGTATTTTTGCCTGTTTTGCTTACTTCTGTATCCCGTGCCTAGGATAGCACTGTGAGGCTATTCTTATTTTGTATTGAAGATATTCCAATCAGAGTCACGCTAGGCAGCCAGGGGCAGTCACGCTGCAGTTCTGAACCATAATAGAGGACTATGTTTTTATACAAACATCATTCCTGATATGTGCCACAATCTAAGGGTTTTGTTGGCTAACATGACCCACTACACAGGGTACAGAGACGAGGTTTTTGGTTTTTTTTTTTAATAACTGCTAGCTTATTTTGGCTCCGAAAAAATAACCCTGAGTATAGTTTAGATGTTTTGTTCTTCTAAAAATGCACTGTCATATAATTCCCCACTTGACACTCACATGTCACCCCTCTGTACATTTCAGCTTTGTGAAATATTTGTGGTTATTTTCATGAATTAAACATTTATAAGGGACACTAGTGAAATAATCCAAATACCTTTAAAAATAATCCATTTAAATGAATCCCTCTTAAAGCTTGAAAGACAAACCATTTTAACTTTAGAAAGAGAAAATGAGAAACAGTACATGGTACACACAGTCAACTTTTAATAGTCAGCACCTACAGAACGATTATCGAGAAAAAAAAGAGAAAGAGGAAAATACAAAGTAATATTCAAGCAGCCTGGATAAAAAGTTGGAATTAGACAGCAGTGGCCTACAGAATGAACTCCGGGACCTATCCCCTCACCCAGCTCTAAGAAGGAAAAGCAACAACACTGAGGAATCGGTGGCAAAGGCACCTGCCAGGCCTGGGGTGGGGGCGGGGGGCAGTGGGGGTGATCAGAGGCCACAGCGGCTCTTCCTCATGAGGCTGGGATGGCAGAGGGGATGGGGAAGAACAGGTAAAACAGTCTGAGGCCACTTTTGTTTGAGGAAAGCTGTTCAATTATAGAAAGGCCTAGCCCAGGGGTCGGCAAACTGCGGCTTGCGAGCCACATGCGGCTCTTTGGATACATACATGTAGCTCTGAAGTAAAACTGAAAATGAAAATAAAACTATCATAGTTGCATTTATAAAATTTTACAGGATATTATTCACATCATGGTGATTATGTAAAAATATATTTATGGCTCTCGAATAATTTTTAAATTGTTGTGAGGAACAGGACTGGCCAGGGGTCGGCAAGCTTTTGAGAAGGAACATACCCAAAAAGCCGCATGCAGCTCACAAACCGCAGTTTGCCGACCCCTGGCCTAGCCTATCGTTGTCATTTATTCATTTGTATATTTATTAACCTTTTATGTCTATTATCATATTAGGAACTAATACGCAGTCACGAACAAAGAAAATGTGGGTCTAGGACAAAGGTTCAATATTTTTCTGTGAAGGGCCCGATAATGAACATTAGGCATTGCTGGCTGGCTATAAGATCTCGGTTGCAACTACTCAACCCTGCCATAGGGCATAAAACCAGCCATAGACAAGCTGTAAAAGAATAAGCACGGTTGTGTTCCAATAAAACTTTATTTGTGAACACTGAAATCTGTGTTTCATATAACTTTCACATGTCACAAAACAGTACTGTTCTTTTGATGTTTTTCAAACATCAAAAAATATAAAAACCATCCTTAACGCACAGACCACATGAAAACAAGCAGTGGGCCAGTTCTGGCCCACGGGCTACAGTTTGCCCACATCTGGTCTGGAAGAAAGGAGGCTTCCTGATTACAGCGAGAGAGACCTCCCGAAGTTCACCAGGAACCTACAGCATCTCTCATCTCAAGAGGATGCTATCGCACAGCGGGCTTCGGGGACCCTGGCCAAGCTGCATCTCCCTGTTCCAAGATGGGGAGAAAGAGGCAGTCTTGGTCAGAGCTCTGAAGAAAGCTACTCAAAAACCTGACGTATCGTGATATCTAATTAAATTACACCTGCACTCGGGGCCTTTTGTCTTTCTAGTGGGACTAACAAGTATAATCCTCGAAGCTAATAACACAAGTTAGTCTCGGTATTTTCCCAGGGAGAATGAAGATTAAAAGTGGAAATTTTAACTGAAGTATTAGAATCTCTGAGCTGCGGAACCACAGGACACTGTAGGGACGCCCAGAAAGAGCTGTCCCCTCAGGCGGAGGGCCCATCAAGAGGACTGCTGGCAGTGGTGAAGTATTCGGAGAATTTGTTTTCTTCCCGATAGCACTAGGGTTAAATTATGCTGTCTATTAAAACAAAAACAAATAAACAACTTACCTTTGTGAACAGAAAAAAGAAAGTGCTGTATAAAAAATGTAATTTCTGAGTTGCACATTAACATGGCAATACTCTGTATTTGCTGTATAAAATTCTCCAGCTGTTGCTGATGGAGCTCTACCTACTCATAGCTCTGTGCACTCGGGCTGATTGCACAGATCACAAGGTGATTGGCCTCACCTTCTAGCTCAGGAAACGGTTAATACCCTCCCTCAAAGGGCTGCTGTGGGATCATGAGACAATGGGTGTGCAAGTACTATTTAGGGATATGAAACAATACACAAACGTAAAAGGGAAAGTTTTTTTGTTAATTTAGGGTTAAAAATAATCCTACCTTTGTAAACAGGACCTAAGACACACATCATCGAGTTTAACACTTCATTTTATCATAAGACCCCAAAAAAGCTTGAAACGTACCTGCTAACAGCATGTCCAACATTCATCATGGCTGATGACATTATTTCTGTAGTAAGGCTTTCAGCGAAGCTAATGCCATCTTGTCCAATGCCACTGTCAGCCGCCAGGCTGGTATTGCTCAGCTCTCTCTCTGCATTCTCAATAGCTTCGGCAACTATCTTCTCAGCAAGCACTGTCTTACCAAGATCAACATGAATTTGAGGGACATCAAGATGAAAAATCCTAGATTTCTGATAGATGCTGCCACATTTTGAATTAGACACAGGCTTACGAAGAGCAAGTGAATCCTGTCGGGAAAAGTGTTGAGGTGAATTTCCACGGCAGTCATGGAGTTCTTTATGGTCACAGTATCTGCAAGCCTGACTTGTAAGAGGTGACAACTTTTCTGCATAAGTGATCCTATCTGCCGCTTTTGTGGTCTCAGATGCGAGGAAAACTGCAGATCCTAAACTCAGTCCTAAAGTGTCATCCACTACTTTTCTCGCATACTGTTCTATGGCGGGAACAACGTTCTCCCCGTAACCACCCCCATGTAAGCCGCCTACACTGGGGCAAAATCTGTGCTTCTGTGAGGAAGGCTGAAGGGACTGAGGAAGTTCTGGCTCAGCGTGAGACTCGGTATCTTCATCACATCCGGATTCTTCATAAAGGCAAGAACCGGTTGAGGATTTTGGCAAGCCACCCGTGGGCACTGTCAGCCCTTTCTGAACATCCCTGGTTATACTATGAGCAAGAGAGGCTGAAAAACTATACAGTTCGGAGCACTCACTTCTGTTTGCATCCCACGTCCATTCGCAAGCTTGAGTTTTACAAAGGTAACCTCCATTTCTTTTACTTTGTCTTCTTTTCTCTGCTTCTGGGTGGTGGTCTTTATTTAAGACCACGAAGAGTTCATTGCTGGCTCTCGCCTGTGAGCTGCGCTCGAGGGGCACTTCTGAGCTGCACTGCACTTTGGCCGTCTGCACTGCTTCTTGTAACCCTACTTTGACAGATCGATAAGCAAGCCTATTGGCATACTGGTCCATCAGTAACTCCCTGTTGCCGCCTTCCTGTTTCAGTATTTGGATAACGTGACCTGCATATTCGTCCGTCACACTTTCGCAGCTTGGATACTTGTATGTCAGGCCTGACAGAGAAGCACTTGCTGGCGATGAAAGACTAAACGGGTCAACCTCTCTTGGGTGTGCTACAGCCTCTGTCTCCAGCTTCTCTTCTGATCGAAAAGCGGGGTCACCATCAACATAACTGCTCTTCTTAGGCCCGAGCAGCAGACAACTCCTAGCGTTTGCGATTTTCTCAGCTTCAGTAATGACTTCTGCTGCCATATCACCTGCAAAACTGCATAAGGTTTGTAAATTTACATCGGAGCGATTTGTGAAAGGAAGGGACGCACTTCTCTGACGCTGCACACTGAAGCAAGGGCTTCTAGCTTTGGACTCCTGGATTGTTTTGTTACCTAAATGGAGAGCTGCCGTCTCAGTTGCGAGAGAAATGACGTGCGTCGCTAACGTGTCTGCGAACTGTACTCTCTTCCCTGCGAGCTCTGGCTTCACGGGCACTGCTGGGTGCCCTTCACCTTCACCATTTTCCACTTCTTCTGAGAGAGAGCGCATGAGTTTCAACATGAACTCTTCTTTCTCAATAGCATTTTGTTCATTTTCAGACAAACCACCAACAGATGAGTTGTGAGGTGTAGAAGGTGGTGTAGCAGGTGCAAATTCTTTTGCTAACTCCCCCTTGAGCTTTTTGGTTAAATTCTTGAAATCCCATTCAGAACTAGCCTGGGATGGTAGCAGAGGTGTTGATGGAGGAGTATCAGGTATTACATTTCCATCTCTGATTTTCTGTTTATCTTCCACATGCAAACCATCTACACACGTCAGCACTGGTGATGAGAAAGTATGTGAATGGGGAAAAGGGCTCTCTTGCCCAAAAGACGAGTGCTCAGGTGCTGTAGTATTATTCAAATGACACTTTTCCACTGATTTGTCCGTAGCAGCCTCCTTCAAATCAGGTTTCTGACCTGTCGTAGTTGGACAACGTGGCAGTGTTTCTAGAGAAAATCCATGGGCTGTAGGACCTTTGCATTCTGCAACACAATCCTTTACTACTGGAAGTGAACATTGAGTTAAGTGATCTTGAGAATCAAGAATTTTGGGCAACTTTTCCAAGGTCAGTTGTGACTCTTCTCCAATAGGCAAGCCTTCCCTGTGTACCACACTTTTCTCTGCATTTCGGGTCACTGACGTGCTTTTATCTATGGAATATTTAATAACAGATTTAGATAATCGATCAGCAAACATGTCCTTCTTGCTAGCTTCACTCTGCTGCAGTGTCAGGTGATCACAGTGGAAAGGAGGGGTTTTTTCCTTGGCTGTTTTAGTTAAACCATCTGTGTGTTCATCAACTGTTTTTGTTATTTTGCATGACGTCACTGACTCTAAAGATTCATTTACTATCGTGTGCACCATTGCTGAAGAAAAGTTGCTAATAATCACAGGATCACTTGATAATTTTGAAGAGCTTTGCATTTCCATATCATCATTAGCTGGTTTAAAATCATTGTGGTTACCCGGATTTTGTTCTGAAGATAAACAAATATTTCGGAGACAAGCTGCTTTTTCTTTGTTTTTTGTGGAAACACGTGCTTCAGTAGAATCACCACTCAAATTACTCTCACCAGATGACAGAGGGGACTTTGCCTGATGTGTATTAGATGCAAAGTGATACGGGAGAAGGGCACTTCCTGCCACGGGCACTGGAATAGAAGTAACAATTCCGGAAGTACAAAACAAGGCCTGCTGTACTGTGTATTCTTTCTTATATTCCTGCACTGGTTTTGACACCGTAATCGCTTGATTATTAAAAGCAGGGGGACATGTGGAGGTCTGCGTGGCTGGCACTGCATTTTCTGCACTCACACACTTTATGTTGTCTGTAGAAACGCTAACGGCTGCCTTTGGTGTAAAGGTCACATCAACCTGTGAGAGCTCAATGAATGCTTCCTGTATTACAGATTCAGACAAGTCTTTGGCATAGGACTTCACGACTTTGTCCTCACAGGCAAATAACCGACCCTGTGGAGATGCGGGTGTTCGAGGGTATGAGAACTGACACACCTCCATGATGCCTTCGAAAACGAGCTGTTCAGCGAGGTCTGCGGCAAAGCCCGCCACTGTGTTTGTAAACATCTGCTTCCTTACATACTGTAGATCTCTGAAAGCATTTGACAAAGCTTCGCTCACCAAGAAACCTGCTAGCCCACCAATGGCACGCTCTTTCAGTGAAAACGCACGCTGCCTTCTCAGTTCATTGAACGCCATCTGAAAAACGGAGGATGTCAATTTGACGGCTAAATGGCACAGTGCGTTGGTACACGAAGAGACACCTTTCTGCAAGTCTTTAAATGCACTGCCGAAACTTCTTTCCACGAGGTCTGCTGCAAATTTTTGAATGCTATCTTTAATTATTAAGGACTTATTTTTAGATTTACTCTTTTGATCGAGGCTTCCACTCTTCAGAGCCATGGTTTTACTTTCTCCCTTTTTAATACTATTAGCGTCTGATGTTGCATTAGTATGCTGGTTATGAAGAACCGAGCCCAGTACTTCACAGGAAATGCTATTCGCATAATCTTCGTAGGTGTAATAGACAGAATCATGATTTTCATGAATCCTATCGCCACCGATATGCATTTGGCAGAAACATTCAGAGGTTGTACAGCCTCCGAGAGGACTAAAAGCAGAGGACCGGATGGGGCTAAACAAGCCACTGTCCTCCCCGGATGCCTTCACCGGGCGAGGGGACCCTGGGGCGTCACACAGGTTACTGGAAGGGCGTTCCGGTTTCCGAGGGGTCGGCTTCCTCACGTTAGCTGGGAGAGCTGGACGATCAAACTTGAATTTTTGAGGATTCATAGTAGTGGTTACAGAACCAAGTTTTTCATGTTTGTGCCCTTTGTTTTGCGATGGCTTCCCTACGACAGGATCTTCTAGATATGGACAAGAAGTCTCTAAAGTTTGTTCTAGTTCATCAAACTGATCAAAACTATCAAAAAATTCACTCACTTCTGAGTCTGAATCCTCTATATCATCTTTCGTCACAGGAATTTTAGGTAACTCAAGTTTTGCTTTTAAGCTTTTTTGATACCCTTCTTCATCTAAGAAAATAACAGGACTGGGGCTTGAGCACTCTGACTCAGAGGAATAGGCAGGAGAGGAAGAAAAAACCATCTTCTGTGTGTCACCTCCTTTAGCTGAAGCATTAGAGGACCTGTAGAAACTCCTTTGGATCCAAGGCTCAAAAACCGATGTTGTGACTGAAGTTTTCACAGGTTGTTCTTTACGTCCCAGAATGTTTCTTAAGGAAGTTGACGGTTTAGCCAGCGACTTCTGCTGCCCAGAGCTAACAAGAATCCTCAAATCATGGGTTTCTAAATGGTGACCAGAAGCCGTCTGTGAAGCAGCATCACACTGGCTCTTTACTGCAGAAATGTTCACTCCTATAGGAAAAGAAGAACATGACCGAGTTACCTTTGGACAGAGGTTTTTCAAAATTAATTTAAATCAATGGGAATAAGTAGACTCTAAGCCCAAAATATTTATTTGTAACAGAAGTGTCTTCTAAACTATGTAGTTTAACAGATTCATCCCAAGTCACACTTGAAAGCAGATACATCTTTGACTAAAACAATTTCATTTTACCCTACGTCTGGGAATACATGGTCTACGGAAGGCTTAGTATGCTGTCATGTGTGTTAGAAACACTAATATGGCAATGCTGCCAGCTAACTCCTCTCAAGTTTGAACCTAGGCATGTTCCAAACACTTACTGTAATGAGGCAAACAGTGTTATCAAAATAAGAACAGAAATAGCAAAACTAAAAGCCAGATAGAAATCATAAGAAAATGAATTCCTCCGACAATCGGGAAAAAAGTTAAAATGAATAAATTTCAATTGAGTAAGTTGGCCTTAAAACTTTTAAAACTGCACTTTAAACTTGAATCCCCTATTTCAAGATAAAGTCTAGTAAAGGACAAACCATCATTATATGGCTTCGAAGTCTCCTCTTCCTCTAAATGTTCAAAGGCTGTAACAAAGTCATCCTCTATGGACGACACGGACTGGTTAGTGTCGTCGTCATCTTCATTGGAGGCCTCCAGTTGGCGCTTCTGATGCAGGTATGTATCCAGGGCGTATCGTATCCCAGTAGCATATTTACTCAGGAGACTAAAGATAAAATCAACTCTGAGTCTTGGTGATGAAGGTGACACTCTCAGGACACAAAGCATTCCAGGATGATGACTCTTGGAAAAGAGGAAGGATGACAAAAATATTTTAATTTCAAAATATATTATACATACAAAACATATTATCTGGAAGTAAAGCCTAGAAATGATCTCAGTAAAAGACAATAAAAGACAGCCATGCCTGCATCCGGAAAGGCTCCCGGGTTTTGTTACGTTTAATTCTTTTCTTCATTCTTTCATCCAGCGTTTCTCGTCCCCCAGTCTCTTTTCCTCCCATCTTTTTCTTATCCGGGTTATTGAAATTCTACTTATCCCATCTCCTTAAATGTTACAGAACTTACTATCCATTCCTTCGGCAATTGTGTTTTCCTATGTTACTGCACAGCCCTGTGATTTTTCATATTTAATCATTCACTCTGCTGACCAACTACACTGTAAACTGCTTGAAAGCAGAAACCAGGTTCTATTTTTGTCATTTTCCTGTAGCTTCCAGCATGGTATCACCTTCTCTCCTCTCATAAGAAAACCGTCCCCTCCTTTTACCTAAATTTCCCTAGTTTTAAAATTTACAATAATGTATATATACAGCTGTGATTTTTTTCTATACATACTATCTTTAAAAATGTAAATATTACAAATGATTTCTTAAAAAAACTAGAAACTCAATAGCTAATTACCTCTTGTATTCTAGCAGATAAAACAAAGTAAATATAAATGAAAATATAATTAAGGAAGTGAGGTGAGCAGTCCTACTTTTATGTACAGACTTCATAACAAACACAGTAATACTTTATATCTGGAATAAATCATCCAAATTTTAAACCTACTAAAATTCAAGTTTTAGGAGGTATAACATGCAAAACATTTTTCTTTGATGCATTATCAATAAAACAATACTTAAAGAACTAAAAGTTGAATGTTATAAAACTAATCACCTGTCTGAAATAGTAACATTTTTGTTATAAAAAATAAAGAACATATCTTTAGATGTCCACTTTACATTGCATTTTTTTTAACCAGAAAATGAATTAAAGTATGTTCTCTAAAACACATAGCACAATACTTATATAAATTTGGAATTGGCCATAAACAGGAAAAAATTCCCATTGCTTATACAAAGCTAGAAGTTCAAGAAATCTAGAAATAATACTTTTCAGGAAAAAAAAATTAGTCTGTACTTGCATACCATTTATGAAACTTCACACATGGAAAATCTAATTGAAAGCTATGACCAAAATTAATCTATTCTTCAGTGATTTCAAAGCTTCATGAGTTAGATTTCTTATGAATCATTTCCTTAAGATAGCATTAAAAAAAAAAGAAAGAAAGAAACTTCATCTAACCATTTAAAAGTTTAACACTATCTAATGTCACTGGAAAATTTGCACTGAAAAACTCATTAGAAATGATATATTAACATTACCTCATTTAGAGAACCATTGTTTACATCTGATGATTTATTTATATCCTTCATACAAATAATTTCATTTTCATTTAGACTGCAGAAGTGCAGGGAATTTAGAAGATCCGGAAGTTCCAAAGAAACTGCAGCTAAATCCTAATTTAAAACAATAACACAATGAATAACACTGTAGAATAACATTTCTGTTAAGGTTCATATAACGTGGGTCCAATTCAAAAATCGTAAGGCCCACTGGTTAATATTATTTTCCAGTTCAGAATAGTCAACACAAGCATTTATCAACCACAATCGATTTTTTTAAAACTCAAAAATAAAATGTACTAAAGTATTTTAAGATCTGCTGTTTCTGTAGCCTTTTAAATGTATTAATATCAAGCTACAAAAAAAATTTCACATGGTACCTTACACATCCGTGACAATTAGGCACTTAGTAGTTTTTAGCTGCAAATGTCAACCTGCAGACCTCAGTCAGCCTTAACGGTGAAACTTTTCATACCGGATTCTTAACTGTATAATGTACTTATTTGGAGCTTGAGTTTTATATTTGTAAAATAAAAACCTATTCTGTCTTTCCTCTCTGAAGTATTGTACTAGATTTTACATGATAATTTAATGAAGATGTAAAAGAAATAAAATAGCTTTTTTCATTTCTTTTCACGTAAAAATTTTACCCAGTTAAAGGATTATTAACGTCCTTGAACCCTCAGAGTATTTTCCTTTATAAACCTGGTTTTATCAGTAACTCTTAAAAAGGAAGCAGAATGAGAGAAATACTTTGGAACACTTCTCCTTTCAGCCTTACCTTCTCAGGGTACATCCTCTGTGCCTTCTGCCTAAACTATTTCCCGCAGACAAGAGCACCATCAAGGCACACAGCAGAGTTTTCATTCATTGTCACCTGACATGCACTATTCACAAAGCACTGAGTAGTGTTATTTCTTCTTCTGTTAGGGGATTTTTATTACCACAAAGGGAACATATGGCAATCACAAATTGTACGCAGCAGCACGAGGTGAAACACAGCATGCCGACACGGCTACCCAGCTTCAGCCCCTCCCGATGGGACTGTGAAGCTGACCCTCACATCACCTCTATCAGTCCCTCTGGAAATACCTGCCTCAACCAAACAGGCTGAAATTTCTGCATTGGTTAATCAGTACTTTTTACAAAATTTACCTTTTAGATTTTACTCTATCTCATTTGAAAATATAAGACTCTGACTGATGAAGTCAGATTGTAAAAACCATCCAAATTAAAAAATAAGTCTTACATTCTACATTATGCACAGAATGGAGAACAAGTTAGCCTGTGGTTTGCAGCCTTCTCAGCTAAATGACTTCTGTGGTCTTCTCAGCTAAAACTGCTTTCCACAACCAGCATACTCAGTGAAAACGCTGAAAGTGAAAATGTCCCAAGCACACTCAAAAGTTGATCTCAAAATGTCATCTTTGAACTTTACACAGGAATGATAACAGAAGAGTTCAGTGAAAATTTTGGGCTAATACGGCAGATTTTTCATGGTCTCAAAATCTGTTCCAAATAATCTGTCACAGTCCTTTCCAGTTCAATGAATCAGCCGTACCTGTATGTGAGCAGCATCTGTTTCTTCATTAAAACCTAGAAACGTGACCTGAATAAAAAAAGAATAGAGCTCCATGAACTTGAGTTTTAAAGTTTTATCTCAATTAGATTACTGACAGAGCTGGGAAACAGAAAACAGCACTTACAGCATTAAAATGCGGGTTGTCATATATAAATATCATTATGTTGTACACCTGAAACTATTGTAATATAATGTTTTGTGTCAATTATACATCAATTAAAGTAAGGAAATACGTGCTCTCTCGGGCAGGACGATTAATTTTTTGAAAGGTGATCACAAAGGTTTTTCACCAGATTTAGATCCATAATGTGGTTCTTCAATCCCCCCATGCTCGCTTCATACCAAGTCCAACCAGTGCTGCTCCCAAACCCCACACACACGCATGCCTCTCCGTCCCCCTGCCCCCACTTCCTGCCTGCACTATTACAGGCCTCTGCCACCTGTCCCCGTAACTGTCATGTCACTTTCCTGTCCAAAGGCTGGCTGCTTCTCAGTGCAGTCCTAACTGAGGCCCCACGGCCTGGGTTGGCTGGTGCCTTCCACCTCGCCTCGCTTTCATGCACACACATGGGCCACCCTGCTGGGTCTAGAGTACACCCAGTATGTTCTTCGCAGTAGCACCCCTCAACCTGGATCTCTAGTCCTTGGCTGTTTCCAGGCCTAGCTCCTGGTCACTCCTCAGGACCCAACTTCAATGTCATCTCCTCAGAGAGGCCCTCCCTGGGTGGGCTCCCAAGGCCATGTCCTTGCTGACTCCCTGTGGTATCATCACTTACTTCTCTCAATGCCCTTATGCAGAAATTTATCTGCAGACGTTTATATAAATTAAATTTCTAGAGAATAGCTAATGCTATGAGGAAATCTCACATTATTAATAAGGACAAGTTACAGAAAAATGATATGGAGTATGCACACAATTTCAACCTTATTTTTATAAACATATGCATGGCAAGTGACACTGGAAAGTAACACACCAAACTATAAGCAATGAGTGACTCTAGGTCAGCGGTTCTCAACCTTCCTCATGCCGCGACCCCTTAATACAGTTCCTCATGTTGTGGTGACCCCCAACCATAAAATTATTTTCGTTGCTACTCT